TGCGCAATTTGGCAAACAATGGCGTCTCCATTGGATCGTTTCGGTTAATCGCCAATCAATATATCCCAGTGGCGGGGTGGCCAGAGGGGGTGGGGCGACCGCAGGGGGACAGCTGACAGAGGCGCGCCCATTAAACATAAACAAAATTAAGTGACCATTAAAATGCCATAAACTGGCGGCGTTCATGGCCATGTCGCTGGATTAACTTCAGTTCGTGGCAGCGAGCGCCGAACTCCAAACTCTCAGCAAACGAGTGGATCCTCTGCACTGAAAAAAACAACCTTAACAATTTTAGAACTTAGGAAAATGGTATGCAAATTATATTCAATACAAGTAAAGCTAAATTTACTTTTACTAATTAAATTTGATATAGGAAGTCTTCCGTTTTGTGGCATTGACATTGCCTGATGGGGCTAAAGATTATTTTTATACAATTTTATACGTCTTTTTTTGCCAATAGTTAATATTTTAAAAAGCGATTTGAGCAGTAAAGTTAAAGCTACTTGAAGATATTCGAAATATAATACTTATTTTGAAATGATATTAATTGTACAATATATTTTACAGAACACTTTCAAAAATTGTAAAACCCAAATTTGAATGTAAACTTGTTTGTTTCCTTGGGTCACTTCAATAGGAAACGCATTAAAGTTGGGTAGCGTAATTACCTATATTTTTTTTCAGTGCACCTATTCCAGCTACACACCCCCTGCAGCACCCCACTCAATTCCCTCCGCCCATTCGGCCCACATAAATCGTGTACTTGCCGCTTGTAGCTTTCAATTTGTGACAAGCCGTGGCAGAGTTGCAGGACAGGAGTCTCCTCTACAAAATGGTGCGTGGGCGAGGTGCCATGTCCCCTCTCCTGGCAGCCGTCCCCCTCTGCCGACGCCCCTGCTCCCCTTTGCAGTTGTCTGACCGCTTACGCAAAAATGTTTCAATTAAGTTGGGATCGGGAGTGGGAGTTTTGGCAGGACCGGATGTTAAATGCGATCCTGAGAAATGGCAGCGCGGCACGCAAATCATCAGTGGATTCGGTGGAGGAATCGCAGCCAGGTGACAAACCGCGGGGAATCTTCCAATTGCCCTCCCCTGTTGACCCACTCTGGTTATCGGCCTGATTGATTTATCGGCCCAGACTCCCAGCTAATTGAGTTATATTAACCCCGGTCGATCGCATTGGCAAAATCTCTCACACTGTCGTCATCGTCGTCATCATCATCGTTGTCGGCCTCCGTTTGACGTTCGACGTCAAGATTGGGGCTTAAACAGGGGCTGGAACTTAGGCTCAGACCTGGCTTTATAAGGCTTTATATGGCTAAAACGCGCCATTAATTGCCGAGCCGAGCGGTAGCTGCATATGCGGCCCATGGCGCTCCGGCACTGCCTTTAATATTTATTGTCAATTATTGCTACTTTAATTGTCAATTATTAAAAATCGCTGGCACACTGCGAGAAAGTAAGGGTACTCGGTAGGGTGATGATTAAAACGATCTGCTAAAGAATTTTTTAATGCATATCAATTTTTATAAAATCTTGTTTCCATTCGCGTGTCTTAAACCCATTTGCGGTTTAACTTAACGATTGCCGGCACACCTTAACCCTTAATTTATAATAGGATAATTTTGTGTTCTTTTAACCTATAAATAAAAATGTAAACGTTTTTACCACCTGCTTGTTAATCAATATGCTTAGATGTGGCATTTATTTTTTAATTTTGAACGCACAGATATACAATTTAAAAAAAACTTTAAATACCAAGCACTATTTTACAAATATTGCATTAAATGTGTTTAAATAAATTAAGGAATAATGTTGTACAATATTATAAAGGTTCTTGAGCTAAGAATACTTTAATTAAAAAAAATATTAAATTAAATTTTAGTATCAAATAAAGTTTACCTTTTGTATCCTTAATACATTTTTAAATTACTTTTACTTTTAGTTTTATTTATTTTATTTTTTTATTTACTTTTTACTATAGTTTTTCAATTATTAAAGAAATCCACTTTTAAAGAAGGAATAAAATCTAATGACTTTTAAAAAGTCATTACATGGTCTTGATGTTTCCCTTTTCATCGGTTTCTTTGAGTGCCCGTTTAGCATTGTGGGAAATTCAGCGCGTTGCACGCTGCGTATGCGCAATCAGTGCGTAACCACAGGTGCGAGCTGTCAAGGCTGCGCCCATTCCATCACTTCAAGCTCGCTTTCGTTGGGAATCGGCAGGAATGGGGTCTGCTCCCCTTTCGCAGGTAATCAATTACCCGAAAATAAGATCGGCCGCTGGCGAATTCCCTACCTTGGGAACAACGAGGCGCACTTGAAACGGGCAGCCATTTGGGTTATTTCCTCCCATTAGACTGCTCCAATTTCGGCCAGCTTCTCCCCTTTCACTCGCTTTATTGAGTTGTAAAATACAGTCGGGTTCGCAGTTGGAGGCTGCCGGTTGCAGGTGGCATGGCAATTCGAGTAGCCTGGCCGACACAGTTTGATACTGATATATTCGCTATATATAAGTAATGTACACACGATCCGGCGATTGGACCATCTGCAATCAGCACCTCCCGATTGCCATCGCTCATCACTCACTCTGGAGGAGAAAAAAGGAGCGGCTCGATTCAAGGTGAGTTTTGCGGCTCAGCCTTCTCATTATTTACTGCATTTTTTTTGGGTGAAGAAAGGGGAGGGCGAACTAAATAAAGGAAAGGAAATTTAAGTCCAGTTTAAATTGCGAAATTTGAATATTTTTTGGTCAGCAGTCTGCTGATTAAAATCAACAACACCATTAATTAAAAACAATTGCGAAATAATATAACTTTTAAATATTACTGCTACATTGTGACACGATTAATTCAAATACCAAAATCATATTTTATTATTCATAATTTTCTCAGTGCATTGCTTTTTAGATCGATGTACCATAGCGAAATGCTGATTTACTGTTTGCTGGCAGTATCTAATGTCGGATTTATCTCACAATTAAACTACTTCCAAACATTTTGGCAATTGTAAAAAATGCCAACCCATTTGTCAACCCATTCTCCTGCTTTTAATCTCACTTTTTTCGCTGTGGGTGTCTGGGCCAGGTCAAAAAGCAATAAGCCAAGGCGTAAATCAACAGGACGAGGTGCGGGTTTTCCATTCCTGAAAGAGGAAATAAAAAAGGACTAGGACAAGCGGCAGGACATGCCGCAGCAAGACATGGCTAAGCAGGCTCCAAAGGCACCTGGCCTTCTAATCAACTCGGAAACTCGAGAACAGGACGACCTGCAGCTCCTGCTGCCACATTCATCGCCGCTTGCCGCCTCGGCTCATAAAAACCAAATGAATAGCCATCCTGCCAGAAGCCGAAAGGCAAGTGGCGAAAAAAAATGCGAAACAGAAACAACACAAACACTTTACGACAAGCCGCACAAATTGGAAGCTCTTTTTTGGACCAGCACTCTTGGCTTTTTGATACCCTTTTGGGGGAAAGGGTATGACAGCTAGGTGAGGCGTAAAACATAAGGGCTAGAAAAAGTATAGTAGATAAACAAGTCAGGCACTTTTAAAATATTGGGAGAGGTGGTAAATTCTTGATTACCAATAAGTTTGAATCATTTACAAACTGTCTGCGTTAAAAATAAATTTTTTGTGAGCTTTCTAATTCAATAAAGTTAAAATGTGTATTTTTCTCCAACGTTTTTACAATTTATTATCTTTTTTAACAACAACAGATTGAATGTGCACAAATTTAAAAATTAGTTACATTTTTTTTTGTAGTTAGTTAATTGCTAATTTAATTGCTTGCTTATGCTTACCATTTTACCCATTGTTCTTGAATTTAGGCTTCATTTTTATTTACCCAGTTTCTTTACTTTTATATTCCTTAAAACCTTGTTGGATTATTAGTTATAGATACTTGATACCTACGTATTTTTATAATACGTTGTTATTAATTTTAAACATTTTTTCCTAGTTCTTCAAGGGCATCTCACCTTCGATGCCTATTTCGCCTGGGCATTTTATGACCCGCATCATGTTGATGCTGATGACAAAGGCCGAAGCGGAATAGAACCGAGCTAAACTGAGCTGAGCAGCTGAGGAAACATGGCATTCTAGACCCGGCATTTGCGTGAGTCCCCTCCTTCTTGACGATCTGTCTTCTGGGCGGATTTGGGGCCCACATCAATTTGCAGTTGTTGCTCGACTCTCTCGACTGCAAGTGCAAATGAAATGCAATTTTTGGGATGCGCTTATCGCGCGTGTTCCATCTGTTTGGCGGCTGCGGCGGCGGCAGAAATTAAATAACGCAAAAATTCGCTTGTCAAAGCGCCAGACGAGAAATTGAAAACTTGTAGGAGGCGGTGGTGCTGCAATTGCCCCGCTGACGCTTTTCCTGCTGCTGCTGCGGTTGCATCGACTGCCGATTCCAATCGGTCTGCGGCGGGTGCCGCGCTCCGTTTGGCAGCGCCAAAAGAGCCAAGAAACGCGATTGGAATCGCTCATTTCACCCGCTTGCACTTACAAAAAATATTACATTTACTTTTGGCAAAAATATCACCTCCCATAAAGAATGCCTACACGGATTATTGATATATAAGCTTGCAAGCAATTTAAGCCTTTTTTTGTTTTTTAATAGAGTTGTTTAATAATATGTTATCACCTTTCTTTTCTTATTGACCCATCATTTTAAAAAAATGCATAGTTCCGAATACATAAGTATTAGCATTATAAAAAAATTTATACCTATATATTTTACAATTTATATATACAATTTAAGAAAGGAGGAAGGTGTTATAAATTTTTTTAAAATAACAAATTTAATTTAACAAAATAAAAATCACCTTCTTCCTTCTTTAGTTCAGTTCATTTAGGCCTTTTCCACTTTTGTTTTCTGTGTAGGACATTGGGACCCCGGTGGGGCACCGGTGGTGCATTTGGTGGTGCCCTCGGTGGGGCACTGGGGCCATGATTCCCACACTCACGCACAAACGGATCGCGGGGCAGGCGAGCGTTTCTAAATCGATGCCAAATGCATGCCAAAATGACTCAAAGACAAACCGCAAAAGACTATAAAAGATTTCTTTTCTTGTTCGATATGCCAGCCAGAGATAAGCGGCCGTCGGTCAGGGGGCAGTGGGGTGTTGGGGGGGTTAAGGGACGGTGGTGCAGAAGGCAAAGCGCAGCTGCTGCTGCATTAATTACACCACGTTGCAGCCTCGTAGATGCGGAGTAAAAAGCAACGAGGGGAAGGTGGTGCGACTGGGGCAGGTGAAACCGGCTGGTTTACCGGGGTCTTTCAGGGGTTTTCCTCCTTTCGGTTTCTTGGTCGCAGCACCCGCATAACCCGCTCACCACAGCCACACTGCACCACAGCACCGCCGAAGACTTCGTTCTTCATTCCATCAGACTCCAATCCACTTCAATCCACTTAAGCTGCGCTAGTCTGCCCATAAAATTCAGAGCTCTCCGAATGTCATTTGTCGTTAACAGCCGCAAAATTGTCTGCAATAATGTGGCAAGTTGGGGAAACCACCCGACGAACAAATCATAAGAACTGCCGCCACAAAACTGCTAAGCGATTGTGCATTTCCTCCGATGGTAAACCAATTTCCAGGAGGTTACTTAGGTCTTTAAAGGTAACGAAATAATATAAGAAAATTATTAAAATAATATAGTTAAAAAAGGTGAGTAGATTTTAATCACCAATAAAAACAAATACAAAGGATTTAATTTTAATTGAAAAACATACTCCTTGGACCCTCCTAAACATTATTTTGATATGCTTTCACTATGGTCATCGTAATTATTGAGTTGGTGATATAATTTCTATAGAATAACGGCTTTGAAATAATATCTTGAAGATCTCAGGCTGAGGCTCACCTAAACTAAACAGCATACTCTTCGGATGGTTCAGTGGCTCTGAAGGTTATTTAGGGCATTAAGAAGCTTTCATTCGCGCCAGTGGACCCCATTCTAGGGCCTATTTTTAAACTTCCTCTAGTAGTCCGAGGTAAGCCACCATAAAACCTGACTATCCTGAAGCAGGCGACAGTTAAGCCTTGTATTAAAACGTAAACCCCGAAAATAATCATGAGAATGTTCTTGACCAGTTTCCATTTCAGTTTGCCATAGGTGTACTCCTCTGGATAATACAAACAGATCTCGAGGAAAGCCGGGAATATGAGGTTTAGCAGCGAAATGGTGAAGGCGCCTGCGAAGGCACTCAAATCAGGAAGGGCAATTGCATTCAGGGTTGCGAGTATCATAAAGCAAATTCGCAATATGAGCTCCTTTAGCAGGGGATGCTTCAGGTTGCCACTTTTGTTCCAGAAGTGCGACATTATGATATCGATCACCACGTATCCGCAGAGGGGAATCGACAGAAAGACGTCGATGGTGAAGGCTGCTAGAACGGCCATAGCCAGTCTGAGATGAGGTGGTTATTATCGAGAAACTATTACTAATTAATTTTCTGCAAATAATATATCTTATAAAACTCACGGTTCGTGGGGCAGGTTTCGCGTGATATGGCCTTTAACGTCATTTCCGTAGCGCCAGTAGCCAAAAAATCCAAAAATGATGTAGGTGATAATCACTAGTAGGAAGGCCGAATTGACTATGCCGAACCAACCCAGAAAGTTTTGAGGCTTGGCCATCCTCTTCTCGATTGCCAGCATCTGTAAAAAATGTAGTAATTTTAACATTCAATGTACTGATCAGTGTGCTTGTGAATCTCAGAACTTACCACTCCCACCGAGGTGACGGAAAAGATAACCCTTACTAAGAACTTCGGAATCTCCGCGATGTCGCCGAAAGAATTACGATCCCTGAACGGCGGCAGATCGTGAAAGATGTAGCCGGACATCATGGCGAATGCACTGTAGATCAGTATATTGGCCACAAAGTTGAACGGTATCAGGTATTTGAGGTACATAATGCAGAAGGGTGGAATGGCTACTAGTCCGATTATAAAAATATAGAATCGAATATCTATTGCTGGAAAATAGAGTTCTACTAAAACTTTTGTGCTAGAGGACGCAAATACCAAGTAAACCACGCAGACTAAATAGGCGGAAAGACACAAAACCACATCCCCCAGAAGGCCTGCTCCCTTGGAAATATATTTAAAACACTTGGGACCCTGGGAAAAGGCGTAGACCATCGAGTCTGGTAAGTTGGTGTAACCAACTCGAGTTCGGCGCGAACACTCCACCATTGAATAGATCTATAAGAAAATGTTAATTATGGATTTATTTAATAAAGAAACAGTATTTACCAGTAGGTGTATTCCATGGATAAATATACATGATGTTAAGATAAGGAGAAAAATTCCTAAAATTGCGCCGGAATAACTAAATGCCAACGGCAGAGCCAGAACTCCAATCCCTATTATACATTTTACTAGCAAAATAAACGCTCCAATGTCTCTAAAAGTTGTAAATAAATATAAGCTTGGAAATAGAAGTCACCGTCTCTTACGAAATTGGTTTTTCCACATCGCGATTCGTGTAGGGATCATAGGGATCACTAAAAATTTAAATTATTTAAGAAATTGTTCTTTTAAACAATAACTTACCTATCATCCGTCATTTGGTGTCTCAAACACAAACTAGAAAACAAAAATTTAAATGATAATGACACTAAAATCAAAGAAGTGTTTGATGCTACCATTGTGGGTTGTGGTTTTAAGAAGTTAACATATTTAATTTAACGCTACTTGAGAAGTAAAAAGAATTTCTTATTTCTGAACAAGCAACCGAAGCTCAATCAAGCTAACTCCCCATAACAATTTACCATTAATAATCAAGTAAACTCTTCCTATTCGATGGGGCCATCAGTACTGCATGACAAACGATTGCCCCCTGGCTATCTTGCCCCATGTCTTTAGGACAACTAATCTTTAGTGGGTGTCGTACTATACGATTTACACTGAAAGAAACCGACATTAATTTTATAAGAAATAAAAATAAATGTAGGTTTTCCGTTTAAGAAAAGGTTTTACCTTAAAATGGTGAACTGGCTTTCAAATCGTAAATATATTTATAAATTGTTTTTGCATCTTGCAATGATTGTTGTGGAAAAGCCAACATAAAACATTTTCCTTTTAAATGGATTTATAGAAAACTTAAATTTAATATATTCAATGAGCATCCCAGAAAACAAGATTGAAAAAAAGGGTTTAAGGTCCGGAGAATTTGTATAATTTTTAATGCTTGATTTTCTGAATATGTTAAAACGGTTTAAACTTCAAAGTTTTATTTGGGAAACCGACTTTATTTATTTACAGGAATGGTGAAAGCTATTTGCAGATTATTATTCTTTATGATGCATACTTATACTTTATATTCTTGATCAGCATCACGATCAAAATCCAAATAAGTATGTACGTCTGTCCGTCTGTCCGTCTGTTCGTCTGTCTGTCTGTCCGTCTGTCCGTCTGTCCGCTTCTCTTCAAACTAGTCTCTTAGTTTTAAAGCTATCTTGCTGAAACTTTACCAAAAGGTGTGTAGTTATTGCACGCAGTATATAAGTCGAAACGAGCCGGATCGGCCGACTATATCGGATAGCTCCTAAACAAGAGGTCAAAAAAATTAAGGGGAGGGTAAGGGTTTAAAAAAAATTTTTTTACATTTTTTTTAATATTTTTTTTTCTGAATGATTAATATGTCGAGAACATTGTGTACAAATTTTGAGTCAATTAAAGTCAAACTAACGGAGTTACAGCGTTTTAAACAACCGTATTTGGACGTATTTTCACGTATAAAAATACTTTGAATCGATTTTGCCGAAGACGTTATTTTGAAAGTCGGTGAACATCAGAATTCAAAATCTACTGAACCGATCCTTTTCAAATTTTTAACACAAATTCTCAACATAAATACGCAGGTAATCAGGAAGAGATTTTTTTAATTTTTAGTTTTTTTCTATTTTTAAAAAATAAATTAACAGCGATTTTTTAAGCTAAAATCGCACTTTTTACTTTCAAATGCTCCCAAAAATAGACAAAAAATAAATTAAAACAAGAAAGGAAGCTAGCTTCGGCAGGCCGAAGCTTATATACCCTTGCAGTCATTAAATATGTCTAACAAAATACAAAAAGGCTAAACATAATCTAATCTATGACGATTTTTCTATTAATTTTCCATATTGTTCATATGACAGCTATATGATATAGTCGTCCGATTTTGATAAAATTTAATTCGTAACTCAAGACTCATAAGAAAACTCTATATTCCAAAAATCATGATTGTCTGATGAAAAACATCGAGGTAATAATTTTATTTCCGTTATTTCTATATAGATTTTTCGATCTTTCCTATGGCAGCTATATGATATATTACTCCGATTTTTATGAAATTTTTTTCTCGATTTAAGAGTATTAGAAAAGCCTGATGTTCCAAAAATCATGCTCGCGGGATTAAAAACAACGACGTTATAATTTTTTTTCCATTATTTATATATATATTTTCTGATCTCTCCTATGGCAGCTATATGATAGAGTTATCCGATTTTGATAAAATTTAATCCGAAATTCAATAGTGGTTAGAAAACGCCATCTGGAAGGAATCAAGTCGATCTGATCAAAAACAACGGAGTAAGAATTTTTAATTTCATTCTCTCGTATGGTAGCTATCCGATATAGTCGGCCGATCCGGCTTTAAAACTGAGAGACTAGTTTACATAGAAACGGACAGGAGGACAGACGGACAGACAGACAGACGGACAGACGGACAGACGGACAGACCTACAGACGGATTTGGATTCAGATGGTGATGCTGATCAAGAATATATATACTTTATGGGGTCTGAGGTGTCTCCTTCACTGCGTTGCAAACTTCTGACTGAAATTATAATACCCTTTTGCTCTGCAAGGGTATAAAAAAATTCATTATCTTTACAACGCATATCACGTTTTTTTTTTAAGATGATCCGTTAACGCCCTATGATGTTCACCGCAAAACAACTTTTTCTTTGGGCGCTTCGGAAGAATAACCACCACAGGCTTTTTTCTAAATATTTTTTAATAATTTTTTTTTCTAATACTCTTCAAAAGTTGAACAGTTAAATGTAATTAAGCTCAAAAAAATTAACTTACTCATTTCGCCGCAAAAAAAAAAAATCAAACATGGCCCTTTTTTTGGCCTTTAAAACCTTATCCCCCCTTAAGGGAAAAAAATTATTACGCCGGTGTTTTTCATCGAATTGACTTGATTTCTTCCAGATGGCGTTTTCTAATTACTTTTGAATTTTGGATTAAATTTTATCAAAATCGGATAACTCTGTCATATAGCTGCCATAGAAAAGATCAAAAAATATGTATAGAAATAATGGCAAAATAATCATAACGTTTTTGTTTTTTATTCCACGAGCATGATTTTTACAACATCGACTTAATGAAATAGTCGAAAATATGGCAAATTAATAGAAAAGTCGTCATAGCTTCGATGTTGTTAGCCTTTATGTATTTTGTTCGACATGTTTGATGATAGCAAGGGTATATAAGCCGAAGCTAGCCTCCTTTCTTGTTTTTTTAGAAGTCTGTTTTATTTATACCAAGTTAATATCTTTCCATATATTTTTTAAAGGGACAGCTTGGAAATTAATTGCAATTGTATAATTGTATTACATTAATTCCAATTGAATTGAGATGCAAAATACTTTCCTTTTATTAAAATTTGCATAATGATTTGATTTCCAATTTGCAGCTTTTATTAATTGTAATTGATGTTTTTAACAAATCCACTTTCTAGAAGTAAATCTAGCCTTCACTATTTGCTTGAACATTTTTCTCACTATATGTTAGGCAGCAATCAACACATACTGATCATATCATAGCTCTCCGAATGTCATTTTCATTGTCATTGTCATTTCCCCACTTTGCCACATTGGCAATAATGTGGCAAAGTGGGGAAACCACCTGACGAACAAATCATAAGAACTGCCGCCACAAAACTGCTAAGCGATTGTGCATTTCCTCCGAAGGTAAACCAATTTCCAGGAGGTTCCTTAGGTGTTTAAAGGTAACGTAATTATATAAGAAAATTATTCAAGTAATATAGCTTAAAAACAGTTGGGTAAATCTTAATCACTTACCACTAAAGACAAATACTAGGGATTTGATCTTGATTCAAAAACATACTCCTTGGACCCTAAACATTATTTTGTTATGCTTTCACTGTGGTCATCATGATTGTTAAATTGCTGATCTATTTTCTATTTCATCGGAATAGTAGCTTTGAAATAATCTTATGACGATCTTCTAGATGTTCCAGATCTTTCGTAAAAACGGGCTCACTTATAGAAACTCAATAGCATAATCTTCGGATGGTTCAGTGGTTTTGAAGGTTATTAAGGCGCTTTCATTAGCGGCAGTGGACTCCATTTCAGGGGCTGGTTTTAAACTTTCTGTAGTGATCTGAGGCATGGTACCCAAAATCTTGATTAAGTAGAAGCCGGGGATTGTTATTAGGGCGCTTTCATTAGCGGCAGTGGACTCCATTTCAGGGGCTGGTTTTGAACTTTCTGTAGTGGTCTGAGGTTTGCCACCATAAAACCTGACGATGTTGGAGCTGGCGATTGTTATGCCTTGTATTAAAACGTAAAGCCCGAAAATAATCATGAGAATGTTCTTGACCAGTTTCCATTTCAGTTTACCATAGGTGTACTCCCGCGGATAATACAAACAGATCTCGAGGAAAGCCGGGAATATGAGGTTCAGCAGCGAAATGGTGAAGGCGCCAACGAAGGGTTTCAAATCAGGAAGGACAACTGCGTTCAGGGTTGCGAGCATCATAAAGCAAATTCGCAATACGAGCTCCTTTAGCAGGGGATGCTTCAGGTTGCCATTTTTGTTCCAGAAGTGCGTCATTATGATATCGATCACCACGAATCCGCAGAGGGGTATCGACAGGAAGACGTCGACGGTGAAGGCTATTAGAATGGCCATAGCCAGTCTGAGATGAGGTGGTTTTTATCGAGAAACTATTACTAATTGCATTTATGCCAACAGATAAAATATATTTTTTAGAACTCACGGTTCGTGGGGCAGGTTAAGTGTTATGGGGGCTTCCACGAATTCTCCGTAGCGCCAGTAGCCAAAAAATCCAAAAAGGACATAAGAGATGATCACTAATAGGAAGGCCGAATTGACTACGCCGTACCAAACAAGGAAGTTTTTAGGCTTGGACATCTTCTTCTCGATTGCCAGCAACTTGAATAATAAAATAACATTCGATATACTGATCAGAGGGCTTGTGAATCTCAGAACTTACCACGCCCACCGAGGTAACGGAAAAGAAAACCCTTATGAAAAAAAACGGAAGCTCCGCGATGTCGCCGAAAGTATTACGATCCGATAACGGCGGCAGATCCTGAGCGATGTAGACGGACATCATGGCGAAGGCACTGTAGATCAGTATATTGGCCACAAAGTTGAACGGTATCAGGTATTTGAGGTGCATAATGCAGAATGGTGGAATGGATACTAGTCCGATTATAAGAATATAGAGCCGTCTATCTATTGCTGGAAAATAACGTTCTACCAGCATTTTTGTGTTGACGGCCACAAATACCAAGTATACCACGCAGACTAAATAGGCGGAAAGACACAAAACCACATTCCCCACAAGGCCTGCTCCCTTGGAAATATATTTAAAAAACTTGGGACCCTGGGAAAAGGAGTAGACCATTGCCTCTGGTAAGCTGGTGTAGCCAACTTTAGCTCGGCGCGAACACTCCACCATTGAATAGATCTAAAAAAAATGTTAATTATAGATTCATTTAATTAAGGAACAGTATTTACCAGCATGTGTATTCCATGGATAAACACAATTGAAGTTAAGGTAAGGAGAACAATTCCTAGAACTGTGCCGGAATAACTAAATGCCAACGGCATTGCCAGAACACCAGTCCCTATTATACATTTTACTAGCAAAATAAACGCTCCAATTTCTCTAAAAGTAGTTAATAAATGTAAGCTCGGAAATAGAAGTCACCGTCTCTTACGAAATTGGTTTTGCCACATTGCGATTCGTGTAGGGATCATAGGTCCTAAAAAATATAAATTATTTAAGAAATTGTTCTTTGAAACAATAACTTACCTATCATGCGGCATTTGGTGTCTCAAAAAAAGAAAAAGGAAAAATGTAAGTGATAATGACACTTAAACCAAAGAAGTGTTTGATGCTACCATTGTGGGTTGTGGTTTTAGGAAGGTAACATATTTATTTTAACGCTACTTGAGCAGTAAAAAGTATTTATTATTTTTTGAACAAGCAACCGAAGCTCAATCAAGCTAACTCCCCATAAAAATTTACTATTAATAATCAAGTAAACTCTTCCTATTCGTTGGGACCATCAGTACTGCATGACAAACGATTGCCCCCTGGCTTTCTTGCCCCTTGTCCTCAGGACAACTAATCTTTAGCCACGACACCCACTATACGATTTACACTGAAAGAAACTTAATTAATTTTAGTAAAAATAAACATACATTTAGATTTTCTGCTGAAGAAATGGTTTTACCTTGAAATGGCAAACTGGCTTCGAAGATTCTTCAAATGATTGTTATAGGAAAGCCTTTTTGTTTCTCATAAAATATTTTCTTAAGGATTTGTAGAAAAATTGAATTTAGTATTTTGACTATTACCGTCATTTTCTTCCATTTTTATAGTGTATAAAAAACACTCGAGGAGACTTAACCCCAGACTTGTGGAGTTGAGCGACTGATGATGCTGCCGGCTGACCTTAATCACAAATTTGCATGTTGCAGCTGCAGCAGGTGCAGTTGCAGCTTGGAGTCTGGAGTTTCGGAGTTGCCCCTCCGATTTGAGGTGCTCGTGTCTGCCAACTACACCCACATACGACATACGACCTCAGGAAAACCAGGGGGTGGTGGTGGGGGTCTGTGCTTTCGGGGGAGTGGCAGCTCATTGACTTCCATTGATGGCTGGGCAATAAATTGCTGTCGCCGTTGCCGTTGCATATTTTCTAAGGTCGCCTGAGCGGAAAACCCGTTGTGGCAGGCTGGGAAACCAGCAACACCCGCAATTCCGATTCAATTCGATTGCCTTTTTTTTGTTGTTATTCTCTGTTTTGGTTTTTGTTGTTTTTTTTTTGCAGCCCGGGCTTTGTTTTTCTCCCGCGCCGGTGACTTGCAGCTGCAACTGCAACTGCGACTGCAGCTTGATTTATGCGACAAGAACGGCCGCGAAGGCCGTTGCACATATGGCAAAAATTGTCAACACACTGCGGCCCATAAAAGCAGCGGCGACGAGAGATTCGAGCACGATACGCGGCCACCAGACAGATACGGATTCGCAACTGGGAGGCACTGGGGAAAATGGCCAACCAGGGGATAAAATAGGATTTTTTAAAATATAGAGCATACCTAGAAAACAGAAGTGAATAAAGAGCTTAAAGTCCGGAAAAAATCAATAATTTTAAATGCCATAAAACTTGATTTCCTGAAAATGTTAAAACAGTTTAAACTTAAAATTTTTATCTAGAGAACCGACTTAATTTATTTACAGAAATTGTGAATGCTATTTGCAGATTACTATTTTTTATGATACATCGTAATCTGTATACAAAGACATTTCGAATTGATGCACAAAATGGTCGACATCAAAACGCCAAACTACCTGAAAATTTTATTATATGTGTTTTCTTTAAGAGGTTTGTTTTATTTATACCAAATCAATATCGTTCCGTATATTTTTTAAGTGACAGATTTCCATTGCAATTTAATTGCAATTGTGTAATTGCATTACATTGATGCGATCTGTATGCAAATATTATAGGTTTATAGGCGTAATAAAAGTGTTAATGTTATAAAGATGCAAAATCCGTTTACTTTTACTAAAAATTTGCATAAACAAGTTGATTTGATAAATTTCTGGTTTGCAGCTATCATCGGAAGTAATTGATGTTATTAACTAAAACCCATTTTCAGTAGTAAATCTTTACTTTGCTATTTACTTTGATTTTTTCTCACTGTATGTTAGGCAGCAATCAACACATACTGATCATATGCAAGTGGTAAGTGGTCAGCACAATCTGCGAGTGAGGCTGTCTATTAATTAAGCGGCCGTAGCAGCCACAAAAAATGAAATGCTTGGCCTGGCTTGGTTTTGCTGCCGTTTTGGTCGCTGCACGTTCACCCGGCTACAAATTGCTCTTGCCACTTTGGTGCGCCAATCGCTCCACGGATCGTTCGACCAATATGCTTATCGGGGTGGCATAATCACCAACTATTGCCCAAGGAGCAGGACCAGGAGCTCTGAGGACAATGTCTGGAAAAATGGTCTGTGCTGACATTCCAGCCTCATCCGCCAAAGTCGCCTCATAATTGTGCGTTAAGTTTTCCACGGAAAATCTCTGCAAGGAATCTATAAAAAGCTTACCATGTTTATGGTGATCGATGCATAATAAACCGCAGTTTTATTTTCTTCATGCATGCTTGAAGCGCATTTTCTTGGGAAATATTTGTAAAAACTTCATTTCTAATGTAACTATAACTTTTTTTAGTTGAATAGTTTTACTTAGCTTATAATAAGAAAGTCTTTCTGTTAATGGCTTTATTAAATTCAATTTCTTTAGTAGCTTTGTTAGAGTTCTTATTAAATGCTATAAATAACACTTTATTAGATTCTTATATTTACTTAAAAATATATCTAAATCAATCTGTGGGAACTTCTCTTACCATCAATTAGCATCAAACGCGTTTAAAAATAAATGTGCTTCTATTCCCATAATATCAGCCCACAAATCTCCGTTTGAGCCATCTCTCTTCCTCTTCTGACCCTCAGATCTCGTGTTCTGTCTATTTTTTACAACCGTTGCCAAAGCAATTGAGCTCGCCCCTCGAAGAGTTTTTGGCTTTTGCGGCACCCTTCACTCTGCGGCTGTCTAACATTTAAACATTCAATTAACCAGCTCATGACGAATCGATGCGTCGCAAGGCATTAACAAAGCGTCCCAGCGAACTTTAAACGAAAATGCAAATTTTTCATTAACACCTGACTGCCGGAGACGAGGACTTTGCAGTTCGGTGGGGTTTTTTGTCCCGGGGGGAACCAACTGAGGTGAGCATGTGGCTCGCAGTCTCACCTTCGTTGTGGCGAAGGACGCTCAATTACCGGGCTCGGGAGCTGTTAATGACTGCCGCTGGCCAGTCTTGAGCTCCGCTTGCTGTTTGGCCAGTTTTCTGGCGGAGAACAGCTTCCGTTCCCAGGCTTCGCTCACCCAGTTGGGGGCCCTCCAGCCCCCCGAACCTCCCCTCTCCTCCCGCAATCTCCGCGCGGATGCCTCCTCCTGTATTTTTTCTTCCAACGCCACGGGGCAGACTTCCGGCATAAAAATGTGTGTCATAAAAGAGCTCAGGCCGTTGAAGAGAAGGGGAAAAGGGGTTATTTGCTGGGGTGTCAGCACCTAGAGGATATCGCTGGTGCAGGATAAAGTGGGTTTTTGATACCCACTACGGAAGGGTATTGTACTGAATCAATTAAAAATAATAGTATAAAATAATAATTATAGATAATGAAAGTTATATTATTTGCCTATATTTACTTAATTGTGTCATCATAGCCATTTTAAATAAAGTCCTATATATAAGAGCTTGATATTTAAAAAACCAAATTATATTTAATCATATAACTCTACTGTAATATGTTTCAATTTCATAATTGAAATTTTGTAATTAATATAATATAAAATCTAAACTGTATTAATTGTTATTTTTATGGTATTAGATTATTATCTGTTTTTTATCCCCTTACCTTTTAATTTAAACTGACTTAATTTTCATTTACCGATTGGTTATATAAACAAATAAGGGGTATGTCTTAGTTTCGACCCAAGATCCCTAGCTTTAAAATTTTCAATAATTCGAGTCTGCTACGGCCTGGAGTTAAGCTCTTTCCTAACACTTAAGCCTGTCTAACCCTCGACGGCTGACATCTGGAATGGCGATATATATATTTATTTATATAGCTTCGCGCTGCGCTTGAGGTGCTCACCCGCTGACAATAGGTGGCGCTTTGGAGCACTTAATAGTGCCTCCAAGCTGAAGGCATAAAACTTTCTTCAGCATTTCCTTTCCCGTTGCTGCAAGTGCGATTCTATAATCACCCGATGGTCAGGTGCAGGTGCCTCCGACCCCCCTCCAAGTCCTCCTTCTCAAACCATTCGCTGTATTTTTTTTACTTCAGCACGCACGCAATCAAGCGGCAAATCAACAATTTTCCATAGCAAAACAGGCAACGGTTTTTATATTCAGTTTTGTGCGGGTGATTGACGCTTGTTGCATGCAACCGTTGCACCAGCAAAGCCAGCAACATCGGGCAGTCGATATTTAAGTGCTTTAAACCGCAAAGTAAGTTGGCCAAGAGCGAGGGGGGGCCGGATAATGGCTGAAGGGGTAAGGTGAAAGAGGGAAGGGGAAAGGGGAAAAGCGGGGAAATAGGAGGGCCTTTCTGCCTGTTTGGGCGCCACAAACAGGTGAAATGTTTGCCAGATATCAACGGCTTTCGGCTGTGGCCTTTCAAACGCCTCCTTACCCTTCCCCCAATCGAGGGGATCCCCGCCCCCTTTCCCTAATTCCACATGCGTGTGTCAACATGCGTGCAACAAGTTCTCACTCTTCCAATTCCTTTGGCTCTTCCCTCGGGGCTTAAATACCTCTGTTCCGCATTTTGGGGCGCGGGTGCGCTACACTTGAAATTTATTACAACTCGATTGCTTGTATTTACCACATTTTTCTGCGCCCGATATCGATCAGGCCAGTACACTGATAAAAAAAGGAAAATCAAAGAAGAGTTTAAAGCCAATCATAGTAAACGTGGAAGCATGAGGTAAAATATTAAAGCTGATTAGCTAGAATTGCTTTAGTAATGGTGTGAAATGTGGTTTGGAATCATAATTTTATAGAAAAAGGTGATTTCTATTGTAAATTTTAGTATGTACAGAAATAAATGTAACTAACTTAATTTTGTGCTAATACCAGCTCAATTAAAATATACTTTTTCGATAATCTGAATCAAAGGGTCAGAAATCATTGGAGTAACTTTTGATAGCCCTTTTTATTGAAGCAAGGAGAACAAGAACTTCACTACAAGCAGTAGTGAAGTTCTTACACAATAAAATTATTAATTATTATGTCA